GCCATGTTTGTGTCTTCTTTCTTTATTAGAACAGTTCTGGAACTTGTTGTTCTGAATGTATTAACTGTCTTTCCTGAGTGTTACAAAGCTATACCTCTCTACATAAGCTTAGCAGTCTTAACAACTTTAGTGTATGTGTAAGCTATACAACTATTATGGTTAGGGTTGTAGGCTAGCAAACAGAGAGTTAGCTAATCTTTGAAGGTACTTGTAATACTGTTAAGGAACACTTTGTTCCAATCTTCTTCTATGATTTCTTTCTTTAAGACTAGAAAGCTTACTATCTTCTGGAATTTGTACTAGTACTCTACAAACTCCTCTTAGTTCTGGATTCTAGTGACAGCCTATTGTTAGACTAGAATACAGAGATCATTCTTTATATAGTAGTAATTACAGTTGAGGGACAGGTATAATCTAAGAATTACTGCTTGAGCAGCTTGCTAATCTGAGGTACTATCTGTAACTTCAGGTATTAAGGCCCAGATCTCAGAATCAGATTGGTTAGCATAATATTTTACTCTCTAGATAAGCTGTTGATTAGAAAGTTGGAACTCATCTTCAATCATTTCTACTTCTTCAAGGAACTAAGACAGGTTCTACACATTAGTTCTGTCATAATAGAGAGTATTACAGCTTGTTTAGTACAGGGGCAAGCTAGTCTGTCCTTGGATTGTAACTGGTAGGGTGTTTAGAATGTTGGTTGTGGCTGGCTGGCCACTCAGAGTACTGACTGTAGTGAGTGAGCTGCTTGAATTATTCTGTAAGCTCATCTGTTAAGACTAGAAACTTATTAGATTGTTCTATGTACTTGGAACTGCTAGAATGATTAGAAGTAGTAGAAATGCTAGAGTGATTGTGTGGTCCTCTTCTTGAACAGACAGAACAGGAGACACAGAACAAGTAGAGTTGTGTATAGAGGTCAATAGAAACAAACTAGGGAACAAACTATGAAACATGGATAGTAAAGCTAAGCTGGATTGCTTAAGAGGTTGTATAGAAACCCTTTTAGAAACAGGACTGAGTGTGTAGGATACAGGTTGTAAGAGGTTATAGTCAACCAAATCTAATTTGGGTCTAGAATCTGATTCTTCTGTAATCAAGTTGGTGTGCTCTCAGTAGTACTGCCACCTGTTAGCTACTTAGCCTACTTGAGACACTTTGAGAAACCCTTCTCACAGTAGGCTTCAAAATGTCAATCTCAAGTACCAGTTGAGGTAGAAGAGGTTAGTTGAGTCTGTAAGGTACAGACACTGAGAGGGGTCAAGAGTGAGAAGGAATAGGTAGATCTGAGCAGAATGTATGAGTTCTGAAAGTGACAATTAACAAGACAAGAGTAGTGTGGAACAACAAAGCTGTACTTTAGAACAAGGTAATACAAGACAAGACAAGGCAAGATAGAATGTTTACTAAGGAGACTGTCAAACTACACACTAAGAGTCACAGTAGAGAGTAACTTGATTACTAGAAAGTACAAAATACATGAGAGTATTTATAGAAATTATTAGTCCTTTGTAGCTACTAGTCCTTTGTGAACAACTCTACTACTGTCTCCTTTGTATCAACCCATTCAGGACTCCAGATCTGAGTCCCCTTTGTATCAATTGACTAACTGTCTGAAGGCTCAGAGTCTTACCTTTGTGAATCAGAACTAGAGTCTAGAACCCAACTAGTCTGAATTGAGTAACCAAGACTATTGTGTGGGTGATGATGACGTAATCGAAGGATTGCTGACATGAGGATGATGTGACTTTGATGTGACTGAGCCCTTCTGATCAGAACATATCAGAATGTATGTGTTGTGTGAGTGTAACACTATATTCTTCCTTTCTGTTAGATATACTTACTTTACTAGTTCTGATTGTTAGGAATAGTAACAGAATAGAGTATAAAGGGTAAGACTTGTAGACTTGTAGAGTGAGAGGGTAGAGGAGTCCTACTTTAGTCAAGCTACAAGTGTAGCCTAGTAGGTTGAGAGTAGAGTACTTTTAAGTACTAAGTAACTTAAGTTAATAAAACTACTTTTAAGGGCCAAACTGGCCTCCTTATATACCTTTTGCTAGAGTAATATTACTCTAGTAACTTTAGTAACTCTCTTTACTATTGTTCCTGTAAAGTAGAGCTGGCTAATCCTTTAGACTGTATACTATACTAGTTTGTGTCATCTTGTATTCTAGATTAATCTTCTAATGACTCCTTTACTGTATTGTTATATCTTCTATACTTCCTCTTAAGCTTTTAATAACTCCTTATAAGTCCTTCTAACTAGTTATACTTTCTAAGCTGTATAATACTTTTCCTATAAAGTAGAGCTTTCTATTGTTCTATAGTCTTCTTATAACTCTGTCTAACTTAACCTGTACTTTCTGTACACTAGTTTGTAATACACTTTCTTGTAAGGTAGAGTATTATAACTTCTAATAACTCCTTATAACTTCTATAATATAAAAGGCTATTACTTTGTACTACCTCTAGAACTAACAACTAAAGTTCTAGACTACCTTATGTATACTCTAGAACTAACAACCAGAGTTCTAGTTCTTTCTTTAAGTCTTCTTCAATTAACTTAGTTTAGAAGACAATTATCCTTATTAACTTTTAGCCTTATCTTTATACTTCTGTATTTAATCTTAGAACTTACAACTAGAGTTCTAGATTGTCTCATGTATTCCTTATGTTGTCCTTATATAGTCCTTATATTATAACTTTATTACCTTCCTATCTATATAGACAAAGTGTATATAAGAGACTACTTTCTTATAGTCTCTCTTTAGAGCTCTCAGTTCCTTCCTCTTTACACTAGTACTAGTCCTCCTCAAGTATAGAGCTTTAGAGTACTGGCTCTAGCTCTTTACTAGCTCTAATAGTCCTTTGTCTTTATACAAAGTGTTTCTAGCTAGCTATATAGTTTCTCCTTTATTTGAGTAAGTAATAATATTTTCCTTTTATCTCTTTAAACAGGTTTTCTCCTAGTCTTTTCCTATATCTTAATTAGACATTATACTCTTTCCTGATCCTCTCTCTATATAAGCATTTTACTGAATGACTTGTCTTTAGTTAAGGTTACTAAGTAATACTATAATAGAGTATGTGTTTGACCTGACAGAGATAAAGATCTTGTATACAGGTTTTGTTACCTTTTCCTAACTAACTTAGTACTTACTCCTTCCTGTCCCCTCTCTCTACTAATGGATTGATCACCTATTAGTAATAATTAAAGGTTTATAATACTAAGCTAGAGTTTTTACTAAGTAGAACAACAAAGGTAGTCTAAGGATCTAGCCAATCTTTAGACTTGTAACTATTAGTGTTTTGTTTATAAACTACTTGGTTCCAAGTCTTAAGTTAGGCTTTCTAAACTTAGCTACTGTATTTTACAATTCCTAACACTTTCTCTATTTTTCAAGTTAGTTCTAAACTAAGTTGTCTTTAATTACTTCTAAGTAATATTGTAAAGGCTACTAATTATATAGTAAATATTAACTAATTATAAGACTTTAGACTAATTTCTCTACTTAATAGCCTTTGTACACTTATCTCTAGTAAGAAGTATTCTTACTCTAAATAGAAGAATATAATCTTATTAATATTGATTCATGTTAGAGAAAGGGATTTACTTTTTAAGACTTTTTAAATAGGTAGTAGAAGAAGAATCACATTATTATATAATCTCAGACAATACTAGAGAAATGTGTAATGTCTTATAATCTGATATAAGTATTTTTCAACACTAGTATAAGAAGTATTACAAATCCTAAAGAGAATTAATTAAAAAGTAAAATGATTCTTCTCTATCAAGTAGGTTACTAAGAGTTTACTTATCCTGTCTGTCTGTAAAGACAACTGGTTGTACCACATTGTGGCTAAGAAGAGTGCTTTACAGTAGTAGTACAGTTAAACCTAATATAGAATTCTATTATCCCTTACAGATAAGTGGTAGAGCAAATGTGTACAAACTAATACTAAAGATCAATTATGTGTATAAAGCTCTAGTGTGGTTTCTAAGTGGAAAATGTGAACTGGTATACACAAACACAATGACTTTGCAGACACTAGTTCACTTGCACATTACAGAAATTAATCCTACATAAGTATACTATTAAAAGATAAGCTAGTGTAGAAACTTACTATATACTGTTAAGCAGGCTGTCAGTCAGAACCATCCTTGCAGGCTGATACATTACACAGGCACCTGCTTGATCTGCCGTGCTGTAGGCAGGAAGAGTGTTTTGCAGCAGTAGTGAACTTAAACTTAGGATAGGATTCTAAAGTTTCATTAAGTGCAAAGGTCTTTAGTGTGTACAACTTCCACTAAGGATCTATCCCCTTTTATATTGTTTCCTCCTGCAAGTTTATCTGTGCAACTGCTCTAGATCTGTTCTTTCTTTCTTTCTTTCTTTCTTTCTTTCTTTCTTTCTTTCTTTCTTTCTTTCGTTCTTTCTTTGACTGTCACCAGTTTACATATCTATACAATGTAAATTCTTTGTTCTCCTATAGACACTTTGTTCTTGTTTCACAGTCACTTTGTAACAATTTATTTGTGCTGTGTAAATGCTTCTTTCTCCTGTTGCATTTGCTTTGAAGCATATTTTTCTTACTCTCGTCTCGTCTTGTTTCCTTGTTAACGAACCACGGCAGTAAACACTCAAGCATGTCATTTCCGTATCATGGTTGTCAACAAATGATTTGCTGGTCCCATTAAACAAGACGTTATGTCGTGTAAAATTCCAAATCTCTACTGAGTTTTCCAGCAATTCGGCAACACGCCATCAAGTCAAGACGAGGTTACCGATAGTAGTTTTGTTATGGTGTGGAATCTCCAGTTTGGTTCGCTAATTGCGCGACGCGTTTGTTTGGTGCATCACGTGCCGCGCGACAATTAAGGAACAAATAACGCGAAATTGGTATATTGCACTCTTATCCAGCAACTACCACCACTCGTCGCGCACGGCCTTTCCATCACCTCAACCTTATCCTCAACTATCTAAATAACCTAGCAAATCATGTCTGGCCGTGGAAAGGGCGGAAAAGGTCTTGGAAAGTGAGTACCAGCTGGCTAGAGTGTTGTGGTCGGATTATTGACGAGTTTGTGTGCTTTGTTGTCGTCGTCGTTTGCAGGGGCGGTGCTAAGCGTCACCGTAAGATTCTTCGTGACAACATCCAGGGTATCACCAAGCCTGTAGGTATCCCCTCGAGCCCTGCAAGAGTCACTAGAGATGCTGACCTTTTGTGCTTGTGAATGTTGTGTAGGCCATTCGTCGTCTTGCACGTCGTGGTGGTGTCAAGCGTATTTCTGGTCTCATCTATGAGGAGACTCGTGGCGTCCTGAAGGTCTTCCTTGAGAACGTGAGTGTGGCTCGTTCTGGTTATCTTGGCCTATCTCACCGCTTTTACTATCCAGGTTATTCGTGACTCTGTCACTTACACTGAGCACGCAAAGCGGTCCGTTTTACTCTGTCTAGTGCTTGCGATATATTACTCATCAGATCGTGTCAACTTTGTAGGAAGACTGTCACTGCCCTTGATGTCGTCTATGCCCTCAAGCGCTCTGGTCGCACGTTGTACGGGTTCGGTGCTTAAAGATGGTCGCCACGTGGATAGACTATGCCCTATGTACCACCGTGTTTTATCTCTTTTACTTACATTTGTCTGTATGAATACGTCCTATGCCATGTCTTGATACACCCGCCTCGTGGCTCTGATTAATTGTCACTTCGACATTACTAAACTCCTATGACCTGTCAATTAAAAGCGTGAGATGATATATCCATAATCGGAAGTTTGTGCAGCTACGTAAGCAGTGCTGGTTCCACTTTGCGCGGTCAGTGCTGCGACGACGTCGTTTCACGGCCGGCGCTGTTGCTCATCGTCCTTAGCCTCTTACTCTCATCATCTGAGGTGTGCGTTCACGTCTTCTAACAGTTAAATAGCTACTGAAGTAGTTTCTAGCTCACCAGGATGCCACCGCGAAGGGCAATGAGCGCATCACCCGTGAGAGTACTCAACACACTCTTCGCAGCTCTCGTCGCAGCAATAAACAGGCTAGACAAGTCACTGGATCCTCGAGATAGCATCGTGAAGCTGCAACGACATGAATTTACTCTGAGCGATTCAATATATATTTTTCATGCCGCCCTTGCTATCTTATGGGTGTCCCTCTGGCCGCTTCCCCTACTCTTCAAGATCATCCTGCCACTCCTATACATCCTCGCTTTACTCGTCCCCTTCACATCTCAGCTCCTCGTACCGGCTACACCGGTAATTTCATGGGTTATGGCGTTCTTCAGCTCGAGGTTCATACCAGTTGAATACCGACCGTCAATTTCTGTGTCACTCCTCCCAGCGCTCGAGAGTGTCTTGTATGGAGCTAATATCTCCGATATACTCACACGCTTCACGCACCCGGTGTTAGATATTCTAGCATGGTTACCGTATGGCGTCCTACACTTTACACTTCCAGTCGTCGTATCTATATTCCTCTGGCTCTTCCGACCGAAAGAAGTGTTACATTTCTGGGCTCGAGCGTTTGGGTACATGAACCTCATTGGTGTTCTCGTACAAATCGTTTTACCATGTGCCGCTCCATGGTACGAACTCATTTACGGCCTCACTCCTGCTACGTACGCCGTACATGGCTCTGCAGGAGGTCTAATGCGCATCGACGCGCTTTTCGGTGGCAACGGCTACCAAAAAACCTTCGCCTCCTCCCCAGTCGTTTTTGGTGCCTTCCCTTCCTTACACGCGGGCAACGCAACTATCGAGGCACTCTTCTGGTCTCATTTCTTCCCTCACATGCGTACGGTTGCTTGGGCGTACGCTGGTGTGCTGTATTGGGCAACGATGTATCTCACGCATCATTATCTCGTTGACGTCGTTGGAGGTGCATGCCTTGCCACCGCATGTTTCTACCTCTTTCTGCCGAATGAATTACGTGGTGCGAACGCAACTCGCGGACCCGGATCTATAGCCGGACGTACACGTTCGAAACATGAATTGTACGACCTCGAAGTCCCCGCACAACGCGGTACTCGGGCTTTCGGTCACTCACGTGGGTTAAGCGGGAAGAGTCTCCGTCTCGACGGAAACACAGACACCGAGGGTGATAGCGACGGCGGCGCGAGTGAGGTAGAAGAACAAGATATCGCGTACCGTTCACCTAATCCTGGTACACCTAATCCTGGTACACCTGTACCCGCATCAGCCGTACCACTCATCAATAACAATTCCTCATATTCCTCACAGAATGGAAACGGGAAGAAGGGCGGTGGGCATAAACATAAACATACTGCTTCTATTGCGAGTTTGACGAGAGGTGCGGGTACGGAGGATGAAGGGTGGAGTCCGATTGGTGCGAGGGGTTTCGCGGTGCCTGGGACGCCTTCGAGGTTGGAGTTGGGTGTGGGAGATGCGCAGGCTGTGAAGGGTGGTCAGCGGGGTTCGTAACGTTGGGTTAATAGAGGGCTCTGTTTTCTCGAGTACATTGTTTTCTTGAATAATTCCTCTGCACTGCCTTCTTTCCGTTCGTAAATACATAGTTGACCCTTTTTCTCGTGCCTTTCATCATTATATAATTTTCCCCCTTTCACGTTTTTCGGCTTTCTTTTAGTGGGATTCTTATTTATAGCATTCCTTCACACCGATAGAATACCCAATACCACACAATCTTCTCCCCAGGGCCAGCGTTATACAAACATAGTATCTATGTGTGCAAAGTGTATGATGACTTGAAATCCTAGACAGAATGTGCAAATATGGTGTCAAATGTAACCATGACAGTCAAAATCATAATTACATCCTCTATATGTACAGTAACACATTTACAACTTTACACAACTCTGTCAAGGGGCATGATACAGGGTGATTACAAGTACAATCTTATTCCATTGTGAAAGATCAACAAAGTCATTTCTGTTTGAGGAGGCGGTGAAGGGATGGACGGGGGATGTAGGCGGCACTGCATGAATGTCTGAATTCTTGTTCAGACTACATGCGAGAAAGGTATTGAGTGAGACAGGGTGGAAAGGAGGGGTTGAAAACATGATTGTGATGGCATTCGAATTCCGGAGTACAATCCCTGATAGTAGACAGTATTAGTTCGCTCGGACAGCGTATTTCAACTGGATAGAGCCATCAATGTTAGCATAACCGGCGTTCACGGCTGGGCCTTCCAGTTCCTCCACTCTTGAGGCTAATAAGATTGGAAAGAAAAGCCGTCAGATAGGCCAAATACAGAATGCAGAATAATTGATGATAGGGTGGTCAGCAATTCTCATTTCTCGGATAAAAGGGGCACTTACATTTATGGCGCCAAAGTTCGGGCCTCATGCCCAGAGCAAGCAGTGTGATCGTAATAGCACAGAATAGGCCGTCAACAAGGAGAGTTGCTAGCACGAGGAAAGGGAGCCATGTCATTGTGACCCCGATGGCGAACAGGATTATAATCAGTGGTGTTATCGCAACTAGCATAAGCCTCGAGACCTAAGTAGAAGTGATGCAGCATTAAGGTGAAGTGGTAAACAATTGAAGACACTGAGGTGCAGTACCTTATCACGTTCACCGATTCTACGAGAGCGACTGTTCACGTATCCTGCTGTCCATGAAACAGCTATAGTAGTAATCCCCCATATCGTGGAGAATACTGCTAGGAGTATCTGCAGCCCAAAAGAGAACCTGTCCACCGAATCGACGCCAATCGCATACATCGCAGCCGTAATCGTCGCAACCGCAACAAAAGCAGCATTAACCAAGAACAAGGCTCCAAAGGCAATCTTATCTTGCTTGTTGAAAGCTCCTAAAAGGATACTCCTGTGCCTATCGAACAAGACGAGGGCTAGGGCAAGGTACAGGATGCTGTACGACCAGTACTGGAAGAAGACGACTCCGGACAGCAATCTATCCGCGCTACTAGTACTGTCGAAGATGCCAGGAGAATCTTCGTTGACGATGCCAGGAGACTTTTCGTTGACGATGCGGAATGGGATCAATAGTATAAGATGAAGGATCGATAGGCACGATGCGACGATGAGAATGATGAAAGGAGCTCTGTGGCCGGGGAGGTTTCGTGCGACCTTAGTTCCGACAACTATGCAGGCGAGGTAAACAAGGATGTATAGCACATCAAGGATTATATCGCCCTAGCATAAGTAAGGAGATCAGCCTAACCATCCTTCTTAAATTCGACAACTGCACTCACAATATCCCATGAACTAAGCCGAATATCACGTTTCTGGAGTACATGGGCGTGAACAGAGGCTATAAACGACAGGAGAAAGAGAGTAATAGCAGCCAAATGCATTCTAGCCGTGGTAGCTGTAATGAAGGTAGGAGAGAACCCTACCAGACGGGCCCTCATGATAATCTTTTAAGTGGCAGCCATCTTATGCCCGTCGGAGCAAATACAGTACCAACAAATAGAACAAAGGGTTGTTGAATCATCTGAACAACGATAATTCGAAATTGCACAATGAACTTTGATGCACAGCATAGCGCAGTCTGCTTATGATGCGCGCGTGAGAAGAAATACAGACATTTGTCGGCACTTTCCCTAGTTTGGTTAGTTGCTTCCCAATATAGCACGCCAAGAGGAGGTGAATATCATTGTGAAGAGACACCAGCATTGTCGAGCACAGCTCACGGGAATTCGTGCTTTCGAAGAAGGTAATTTACCCCAGACGAGTACTTGAATTAGCAATGCTGTTCAGGAAAATTTTGGTTAATAGTAATCAGAAAGGGCGAAATTTACTCTCTTTGATTATGCGGCAGCAGTTCCCACCACGGGCTTGCGGAGCCAGAGAGGTTACACGAAGCACATCAAAAGCAACCAAGCGGATCACCTAGAATCATTGGCTTTATTCGAATTTGCGTGCATGTCTAAGGCCTATCTATTGTGAGATACGAAAGTCAAATTGATGGTTATTTGCGTCCCAAAACTCAATTTGTAACATATTCAGACCTACATCAAAATAGTTTGAGTGGTTACTTATGTGATGAGTTCAATGAATATATGCACGGGTCACTGTGTTCAATGTATATACACAATTAGCACCGCTTAGCTGCATACATAAATAGTAGTTTAGAGACAGTAAGAAAACAGTAGCACAGATAGTAAGGCCAGAGAATAAATAAAATAAATAATTTGACACAGTGGAAATAAAATGAAGGGAAGCAGACAACACAACATGTAAGTTGATAATAATGATCCTATGTGGTAACTGTCCCAGGATTATGAGGCAAATGAGCCTCCTTAGACAATGTCTGTTCCTATTTTGTTTAAGTCTACAGTTGTCAGAGCACCTAAAATAAATTAACTAAGGTTAAGGAAGAAAAGTATAGGTTGATGTATCTTGAATAAATTTGATGTTACTAACAGTCCTCAGTTGGTAATTTATGCCTTTGTTCACTCCTCTCTTGCCTGCTTCTTTTAGATTAATTAAGAGATGGCTCTTAACAATACAGAGAAGTGTTGTGCTTCTAGCTGTATTCAGGAGGTTTTGTAAGGAATAGATTAATACTCTTAACTCTAATCATTATAATTCTTGTTATGTAGCAAAATATTACACTATAATAGCTTGAGTCAGAGGATTATATAGGAGTATCCTACTTACAAGCTATAGTACAGAACCTGGTCTTTAATGAGAACTCTAACAAGATAGAAGTCTTTGAAACTGGATAATATTCTTCAGTACTCTACTACTTTAGAGAGGGTAAGACAAAGTAAAATTGTCTCATATATTAAAGGAGCACTCTTACACTATGTTAAGGCAAGGCTAAAGACTTGAAAATTATACTTACTATGAGATGATTAGCTGTGATTGAGGCAAGTTGTTTACTAGACAGAAAGTGATATCTTGTACAAGACTGGCAGGAACTACTAAAGTACATAATATTAGTCTAATTGAGTAAAGAAAGAGGTTATTATTATTCTTACAGTGTTGAAATAAACTGCTGTAAATAAAAAGGCTAAAGTTAATACCTACTTTTATAGTAAGAAGAGTCTTGAGGAGGATTGAAAGTCTTCTATCTATTAAAATTAGTTAAGAAATCATTTAGTAAGACAACTTACTTACTTTTCTAATAAAGTACTAATACACAGATTTGAAGAATAGTTATAAAACAATCCTGTTTGTACTATATCTATACAAAATGATAGGTATAATACTTATAGTCTATAAGAACAATAGTAACTAGGCCTAGTATTAGGTTAAATTAGAATCTTGTACTATAGTAGTAAGTAGCTTATTATATAAAGTACTTATCTAAAACATAGTCTAGCCTAACTTTTTAGTTAGTAGAAAGAATAAGTGATCAGAGGGAAAACATATAACTGTATGTGATACAAGTTTGGGATTAAGATTAGTACACATTTATAATAATCCTTTTGCTTTATACTTTAAAAGTGTTTACTTAAAGCTATAATCTATAGTAAAACATTAGTACTATTATTTTCTACAGACTAATAGATTGTGTAAATATTTTACATACAAATTATAAAACAAATAATTCTAAGAAGTCTAATATAGTGATTCTAAACATTGTAATTAGAATACACTCAATTACTAAATACTTTACTATTTCTCACTATAAAATAAAAGTAGACTAATATGGTTGAGTAGCTTAGACTGTGTTTCTATTAATTGTTAGGACTGTAAGGAAATGAGTACTCATTTCACAACACAGTCAATCCATTTCTCACCCAATATAGTAACTTGTGCCTCTTTTGTACAATGGTCTCTTAGCCTATATTCTCTAGTAACTTACACCTCTTTTGTGTAATAGTCTCTTAGCCTATATTCTCTGATACACAACACTCTGTTAATTCTTCCTGGCCTCTAATGTACCTGTTGGATTTGTAATATTTGTTCTTATTATTTCTTTAATCTTATTCTCAAATTTCATTCCTTACTTTACTCTTGTTATTTAGTTATTATAAAAAGTAGTCTGTAAATACAGTAGTTCCTTAGTTTTTTGACTCTTCTTGTATTCCTACTTGTTCTTCTAGTATAAATCCTAGCTGGTAGCTTTGAAAATATAGCTAGTTTAAAGGCTACAGGTTTACATTCACAGTTTGAGAGTACTATCAACCTAGAGAACACATCTCCCCTAACATAAGAGTTAAAAAACTCATCTCTACCTTAATACTACTCTTAGTTTAAGCTGCTCCTCAATTAATATCCTCCTAGTCTGAGCTACTACTTGACTATCCTCTTTATCTGATCCTACTCTCCTTTGAGTCTGAACTACTGTTTGATTTGTTTCCTACATATAGTCAGAGCTACTACTTGACTTTCCCTAACTTGAGCTACTACTCAGTCACTCCTTCTATACAATCTGCTCAATCTGCTCAATCTGCCCAATCTGCCCAATCTGCCTAATCTGAGCCACTACTTGATTAGTTTACTTAAGCTAAGCTACTACTTGTTTGAGTATTCCTTACTCCTTTTATAAATATACCTTTTACTTTCTTAAAAAACTATTAAACTGATTTACTATCCTATTAATTCTATATTGTCCCTCACTCATTTGTTACTTTATTTTTCTATTATTTTATACTCTACTCTTAAGGTTGTATTACTACTATCCTTTACTCTCTTTCACTCTTTTAAGTTTGTGTATTGTCTTTACAATTTGTATAGTTATACTCTTTTCTAAATACTTTTTAACCTACCACTTGTGAAGCTCAATCCCTAGCCTTTGTTTGCTAGTTGACTAGAGCCTCTCTTAAGTAGTAACACTTTCAGGAACCTTATAGTCTAAAAGTCCAGCATTGTCTTACAGTTATTTAGTGTTATTAGATAAGAGTCACTAGATTGTACTTAGAACAGAGTATATATAAGTAGCTTAAGAGTTTAAAACTAAAAGATTAAAGTTGTCTAGGTAGTAAACTAGTTGAAGAAACATTTCCTAGAACTTATACATTGTTTATAACTATTCACACTAGCCTCTAACAAAGACCTAGACATTTTAGAGCTTACTCAAGTATTTGAAAGAGTATTCAGTGCTTCAGAAGTTGATTTATTAAAGCTAGCCTTAGGAACAATGTTAAATCCTTTAGGAAACTCTCTTATACTCTCTTACAAGCCTGTACAGCTCTAATAAGGTACTTATATACACTTAAACATGAATTCAGTCTCTTAATTGATTATAGAGACTACTAGTCAAGCTGTTACTATAGTAATATACTATACTCCTACTAGAAATCTTAGAAAGATCACTACTACTCTTAGAGAGTACAAAGGAGGTAAGGATTATTAGGACTTTAAAAGAGAATGTCTACTATATATCCTTACTAATAAAAGAGCCTTCTATAACAGTAAAAAGAAGATACTCTTTATACTTTCTTATTTAAAGGAAGGGACAGTTACTATATAGATAGAAAATTAGGTTACCTAAAACACAGACAATGAGGGCAAAATTCTTTACACACAATCATTCTAAGAGTTTATAGAGTAACTAGAACAATCATTTGATGACTCTAGTAAGAAAGAAACTGTTATCTAGAAGCTTAGACAACTCAAGCAAGGAAATTACTCTGTAGATGTCTTTTTCTAACAGTTTGAGATTCTTAAGACTGAAGCTAGACTGAGTAGTAAAGTATATGACTCTATAATAATTAATTTACTTTAGTATACTCTTAATCCTAAAGTACTTTGTCAGTTAATACACTTATTACTAGTTCTAGATACTTATAATGAATGGAAAAAGTATACAATTCAGATTAACAATAATGAAACTTGACTCAGAGAGACTCTTACATGTAGGGGACTCTCTAGTAGTTAATCTAACAGCTGTCTACACTTTAATCTTCCTAACAAGGCTTACAACTCTCCTTAATCCAATTCTACTACACATTTTAAAGCCCTAAATGTGTAGACAAATTCTCAACCAACCTTACATCCTTTCAGGTCAACTCCTAATAGAAAAACATTCTTAGGAGCTAGAGAACTAATAGACATCTTAATTAACAATACTAAGAAAAATTGAGCTTGTTACATTTGTAGAGAGATTGGTCACTTTGCTAGAGTTTGTCCTTCTCAGTATTAAAGAGTTAGGATGATTCTCAGAGCTATAGAACTCAAGGAAAGGTTTGCTTTTATAGAGGCAATGTAGGAATTAAAGGAAGGGGACTTTATAGATAAAGAATCAGACAAGGAACAGATTGAGGAAGAGGAGTCTTTTGTCAATCCTTAGGTATAAACACTGTATTGTCTAAGAAAGAGTTAGAACAGAGTTATTGTTATGTAAATAATTAATGCTAAACATCTGAATCAAATATAAACAATTATTATTTGTATTATAATACTCTAGACAATGAAGACTCTTATTTTTTTAATGAACCTATTAATTCTGAAGTTTGTAAAGAGGTGGAAGGTGTAGAAACAGTTTTGAATATCCCTTGTAGACTTGTAGGCTCAGTTTCTCCTAGAGAAGCTTTATACATTTGCTCTAGTACTAGAAGACAACTGAATATGTTCTTGACAATTAAAACAGATTATAGACTCATTAATATACATACTCTAATTGATTCAGAGTGTACTAGATCATACATAAATACAGGTTTTGTCAAGAACAACAAGTTAACAATATACCCTTTTAAGAATCCCTTTCTAGTTTTCAATACTAATAGTACAAGTAATAATAGAGGTCTCCTAAAGGACTATGTTAAAGTGGAACTCTCTGTTAAAGT